ATAGATAGATAGATAGATAGATAGATAGATAGATAGATAGATAGATAAACAAATAAATAAATAAATAACACCACACAGATGCTAGCCTACTTGTAGCAGAATACCTTATGCCACCAGGCTTGAAATTTTAGACGTAGACAACCTAGAACTACACCGCCTTCGGTTCGATTTAAGTATAGTACATAAAATTATACATTGCAATGTCCTACCTGTCAATAAACACTTCAGCTTCAACCATAACAAACCAAGAGCACACAATAGATACAAAATTCAAGGTAAACCGCACCAAACTTGATTGCAGGAAATACAACTTCAGCAACAGAGTGGTCAACGTCTGGAATACTCTACCTAACTCTGGTTTTTTTTCCCCCAAACCCCAAAAACTTCAACCTTAGACTGTCTACTATGGACCTCACCCCTTTCCTAAGAGGTCTCTAGGGGGCATGCATAAGCGCACCGACGTGCCTACCCTCCCTGTCCTATTGTTTCTTTTCTTTTTCTTATATGTACCCATTTCATGTATTCATAACTATGTTTTTACTTAATACCTATTATCTTGTAAGCAATTGACAAATCAAATAAAAATAAATAATAAGCAAATAAACAAATAAACAAACAAACAAAATAAAAACAAGAACAAACAAACAAATAAATAAATAAATAAACAAATGAACAGGACAGCGCGAGCTTTCGCTTCAGGCGCGCGCGCGCGCTCTGCAGATGCCAACTTATCAGCTCCACGCGCCCGCCTTCCCAGCCAGCCAATCGCCTCCCTTCTCCCCTCCACGCTCCGCCTCCTCGAGCGCGCCGGGGCCCGTTTCTTCCTCCCTGGCTGTCAAGGGTGTGAGATCACTGATCCTCCGCCAACCCGCCTGGGAACGGCGCCCCCTTCCGCGCCCGCCCCCCCCCCCCCCCCTGCGCCCCCCCCCCCTGTGTGTTTCGGCCCCGTGGGGCCCCCCCCCCCCCCCCCCCCCCCCGCGCGGTAGGTCGGTTTTTCTTTGAATTTTAGGCGTTGGAGAGGCGGGAGGTGTCGCTTCCCTGACTGGCGATGGGGAAGTGTGTGTGTGGGGGCGGCGGCACGAGATTTATTATTATTATTATTATTTATTTGGGAGAGGAGAGGAAATGGCGCCTTCTCGACTCGGCTAGTCCAGGCTCGCCAAGTAATCGGTTGCCCAGTTTGGAGGCGCTCCGGCTTTCTTTGCCCTGCCCTAAGTTTTCAGTCAGCTCGGGCGGTGCTTTTTATCCACCAGAAGCGGCGGGAGACCCGGACGACCCACCTTTCCTGGGAGACTGGAACCGGGCCTCTGGTTTCCTTTCCCTCCGACCCCGCTTAGCACCTCCCGCGTTTTGGGTTTGCCCCCCGCTTTCCCAAATGGGCGGCTTCTAAGGAGACCGAACTGTAATACCCATCATCCCCAGCCAGCCTTGGGGCGTGCCGATGGCGCAGAGGAGGATGCATTGCTGTGCATTGCTATTTACTTACTTAGGGAATCCTCCTCCTCCTCCGTAGTCCCTTCCCTATAAGGGGAAGATAATCCGCCAGGTAGCCGTTGTATTAGTTGAAAAACATTTATTATGATTATTATCATTATTATCATTGATTAATTATTGATTAATTATTGATTAATTGGTTAATTATTGATTAATAACATAATCAAAATAATTTCCTTCTTCCAAACGTCAGGCGCATCCTTTTCATTTCTGACCATTCTTAGCAGTATTTTATACCTTCGCTTTTTGTTCGTAGACTAATTTTTTTTTAGCATTTGTTTTTCAGCATCAGTCTTGGTTGTATCCTGCAGAATCTCTGCAATGCTCCTAATAATTCCTTCTGTTATAGTTTCATTCATCTCAAATCATTTTTTTGTCATTTTTATTTTTAATCCCCTTGGGACGGCTTGGAGGCTTGGTTGTCTTTAGGCCATTTCAATCCACTTACAAAACCTCTTTAATTTTCAGCAAAAAATGCTTCTGCAGCTTTTATTCTGACATCATCTTGTCTTTGGACGACCTTCAGTGTAGTCGCCAATAGAAAGCATTTCAATTTTTTTGCTACAGTTCTGTTTCTTTTCCAGTCTCTTTCACTTCATCATTGTACCCAAGTTAAGTTAATTTACATTTGTGTAGGGCACAAACTGGCATCTAATACTTTTTATTCTTGCAGATTTATTTTCACTCTAGTTTTGTTGACTTCTTTATCTTCCAATGTCCATCCCCCCCCCCCAGTAATTTTTGACAGTATCAAGTACTAGTCTGTCCCATATTCAAAACCTGTTATTAATTTGGTATCCTTCATTTGTTCTAACAACTTTCATTATATCCTGTACAGTCAAATAATTCTTTTAGGGTTATAGTTATTCCTATGCCAAGTTATGTTTTTTTTAAAAAAAAAATTATTAAAATTCAAAAGCAAGCATTACAATTCAATCTAATGTAAAAGAAAAAAGGGAGGGGAATAACAGGTCAAGTAAAAAGTGATTAAAATACATTAATTATATAGCAAAAGTGATGAACCTTTTTCATTATAGAGATAATATAATACAATCTAAGTTTAAATGAATAATACCAACTCTTAAGTGATAGAACTGATTTGTGTTTTAGCCATGCATTTGAAAAAAACAGACCTTTATCTAAAATGATATTTCACCTTTCTCACTCATTCTTGGTGCTCTGAAAGGATCCAGAACCTCTTTTTTGATATTCCTTTGACTTTTTCCCACCCATCAAATCATATAATTTAATAAAATTCTAGTTTGCATTCATTCACAATGTCTCTGATTCTACCATGGAATGTAACGGGCAACTATCACCATGGGTTTCTACTTTCATAGATGCCATTGATTCATGCCTTCAGAAGGACCTGTCTCATGCATTTTAGCCTTATGATTCATAATAATCTATTGATGGCTCCTTTGCTGGGTGTCAGGCTTCCAGGAACTCTATGGCTCTTCGGTTTGCATGGTCAATTATTTTTTTGCTTTTCCAATTGAATGTGTAGCCTGGGTAGCTGTTGAGTATTTCCCATCTTTGTTCTTCATCACAGTTATGTATACTTCTTCTTTTTTTTTTTTTTTGCTGTAGTTGGCATCCCATCTGCCCTAGGTAGTGTTGGCTGTAAGCCCGAATGTTGATTCTCTATTAAGTGTGTGTTCTTTCTTGGTAGGTTATGCGTTTAGTTTACACTGGATTCATCAGTATCGTCTTCACCCATTTTTCTCTTGCGCTGTTTTTATAGTTGATGTTTTTCCTAGAAATATAAAACAAATAAGTGGCAGTTTGAAATAAATTACAGAAAATAGTGTCATAGCTTAATTAAAATAAGCAGAGACTACTCCAGGCTGTTACCAGGAGTCACAAACTGACCCCAAATTGCGCACATGTAGTTCCTACACACATACAAAATGTGTCGAGTCTTTTAAAAATAATAGCAAGTTTTGATTAAAGTTTTGTGTGTTAATTAGACTAAAAGATTTAAAATAGATTGTTACTCTGAACCAAACCTTAATAATTACCTCAGCTGCTATGGCAGTGTTCTGTTTGCAACATTCTTGCTACTTGCTTTCTAATAGTGGGACATTGCCCAAGTCTTGGCTGTTAATTTTGTAATGCTTGCAGAGACAATCAGTAGCGACAGCATTAATTATATTAATAATTTTTTTTCTTTCACTTTTTCAGGAACACAAGTCACTGCTTGTTGGACTATCACTGCTGGATTCATTCTGAATTGATTGTGGATATCCATAACTGATGGGACCATGGAGAGTATTACAAAACTATTTGGTGACTTGTGTGAGGCTCACATAGTATCTGTGTCAACAAAGGTCCATTTGAACAAAAGAAAGAGTAGCAAAAAAATTTCAAGGAAAAGTCTCAAAAAGATTGCATATAATACTTTGTTTGCTAATCTTTTTCTGGATGAAACCCGCAAAGTTCCTCAATCAAGTTTTTCTAGACTCCCTGTGAAAAACAAAATGTTAATGCTGTCTTTCAATTTGAGAGTTGCTGGACTGAGCTTAGAAGCAGACAGGCTGGAGCAACTGGTAGAGGAATTGGAAAAGTCAACTTGCTTACCATTTACTGAAATTACTTCCATTTTGGATTTTCTGATTCAGCTTGCAGGAACTGGGCCTCCTCATTGTTCACCCCTCAAAAAGGATTATTTCTTGAATAACAAATACGTAGGAAGAAACACTAAATATCAAGGCTATGATTATTACGATGTTAGCATATTTGAAGCAGACGTGCAGGCTTTTATTGCAAATGAAGAACTTCAATGTAATGATACAATTCAAAAGACCTTGCAAATTATGGAGGCAGCACCTGGTACAGGTCTTCCCATGGTAGAACTGTTTTCACAGAATTGTTCAATGGGGGACAGGTATGAGAGAGAAACTAGGGTCTCGCTCTTTGGTGCTCTCATTCACAGTCGTACATGTGATATGGACATCAAGTTGGATTTGCCACCAGTGCCTGACAATGCAGATCTGTCTGGGCTTGCAATCAAGGTATAAGATTGTTTTCTTTTGTCTATGCCAATATTGGTCTTAACGAACTCATGGGTATTTATACTTTCTCCATAGAATACAGATGACATTGGCTAAGAAGCCCTTCTGTCTCCTCCATTCACTCTACCTCTGCAATTCCACAATTATTACCTCATTGGAAGGACAAAGACAAAAATGTAGATTTTTCACTCTCATGCATCCCTCTGATCTGATGCTACAGCATATGTTTCCATCATGGTGTATAATGTGATTTATATAAATATACTCGAGAAGATCAGTGTTCCTTGCCCCTGTCTCAACATTACAAAATGTTTCTTGACCAGTAATATGCTTCTGACACATCAGCCAATATTTCATGACAACTTAGGGTTCTAAAATGTTTTATTGCTTTCATTTATGGATATTATTTGTTCCTGTTTTAATGTTATAGTATAGCACTATTGTCTCATATGATATATTTTTATAGGAAGTTGGATACAAACCAAACCTAAGTATTAATTTTTATTTGGACAATTCATTATAAGCTCTATTTTTATTAGAACAATCCCAAAACAGAATAGTTAAAAGTAATAATATAGGACCAGTAAAGGAGTATTTTTTGTATTTGCAGGTTCCCCAAAGTATTGATCCTTCTGAAGATGAAGGATTCCAGTCAGCATCCAATCTCACTCCAGATTCTCAGTCAGAACCCAGTGTGACACCAGATCTTGATCTCTGGGAAGCAGCACTTACTTATGGACCGAGTAAACGGAGGTGCTGGGAAAGAATTGGATTGTAAGTATTTGACTTTATATTTTTAAAAAGTGCTTGTTGTTAATGAGGTATTCTGTGGCAGGAGAGTGCTGTGATTAGTACAACAATGTTCCAAGTATTTTCATTAAGATTTCATACTACAGTTCAATTTGCAGAGTTACCTTGCTGATATACAACTAAAATCTATTCGTTTGCAATGAATGGAAAACTGGAGAATGGCAGTCTTTGGATCCAAAATATCACATTCACTTCTAAGTTGTTCAGTTATGTTACCCTCCTCTTTACGTTTTTGATAGGGGCAAGAGACAGAAAATGTGTGGAATGGCACACCTAATAGTGTGGAGGCTATAGTAAAGGAAAACTGATAAACAATGTGCATATTTGCATTCCTTTGGATGATACATAATTGTTGATGAAAAGGAATGCATAGTAACAGAATTCAGAAAGTATAACTTTAAGAAAACCCTAGAAAAATGTTAAACTAATCACCAATTTTTTGATTATCATAGTTACTCGTGCAGTTCTGAAGAAAATTGTTCAATGTTTTATAAATGTACAGAACATTTCAATCCAAATCCTTTAAAAATTATTTTATATAAATGAGTTGACTTTCAACCTCCCCCACTCAAAAAAAAGCAGAGGTTGAGTGACATACAAATAAAATAAGAGTAATTTGCCAAAGAAATTAAAATTAGTTTATTTGTTCTTTTTTGTTAAACAGGTAATGCAACAGGTATTAAATAATATTTAATAAAAAGGTCTTTATTCAAAAGGCCATAATGCTTAGATGCCAGCAATTTGGAAATAGCTTGTAATCTACATCTCTTTATAACATGGTGGACACTTATGCATGATTCAAGCAGAAAAGAAAAATCATATTAGTTATACATGATTTTGTCAATGGTTTTCTTGAGGCAAACTGGCTCTCGGTTTCAGAGGTAATTCAGATTTCTAGTTTTAACATTTTTGTGGTTTTTCCTGACAGTCCACCTGGGAAAAAAGAGGAGCCATATCTTTCAGAAGCTGGAAGAGAAGCCTTTGACAAATTTTGCAGACTTCGAGAACAAGAACTGCAACTTTTCAGCAGTACTAAATTTCAGTTTCCACAGCGTGTATTAGTAAAAGAACCAGAAATTGTTAAAGATGTGTTGAATGTTCTTATTGGGGTTGTATCTACTTCTTTCTCATTTAATCAGGTATAACATTTCTATACAATACATAATAGTTTTATTTTTAGTAGAAAAATCTAGATATGCATTTTTGCATTCTATTTTGCTGGACAGAGTAGCCTAAGAAAAGTATACCTTTTTCAATTTTGCAAAATCTATGAATGGTACTGTTTAATGCAAGGGTTTTCGGTCCACTATTGGGCTGCGAGCTGTTTGGAACTGGACCGTGGAAGCGGGCATGCGTTCCCATACTGCTTGTGCAGAACCATCCCCTCTCCTCACCATTTCCGTGGCCCAGTTCTGAACAGGTTGTGGCCCCCTGCCCTAGAATCTAGATAGTAAAACCTTCCTATTGAATTAAAATACAGATTTACATTACTTAAAACATTGTATTTAATTTTACCAGAAGCTTATATATTCTTACAATGTCAAATTAGTATTTAGCATTGAGGTAATATTTTCTTTAAAATACTACAGTATTCAGTAGACTTTTATTTTAAAAATTAATATAAAAATAGTACATTTAAGTATTCCTAATTGGATTTATGAGGACATACATTTGTTAGTAAAAATATTCTATGCTGTGCATTTTAGTCATTTCCTGTTACTGTTTTCCCAACTTTGTAGGCTGTTCAGATATTTGTAGTGAAACAAGGCATTTATGTATCTGGAACTTCGCCTGAAAGTATGAACTGCCTACTGTCAGAAGTGGCTGAATATGGAACTTATTACACACGGCTGAGCCGTTTTTCTGTTCAACCAGTTCTGGACTCATCATATAAAAAGGGGCTTGTATTTCAGGTAATGCACTTACAGTTATTATTAATTTGGTTGAATATATTCTTCTCGTTACCTGATATCTATTAGTAAAGTCTGGTGTGTCCTCTGTTTTGAATGAAAAAAATGCCCTTTGTTCTTTCTCCTATGCTGTTCAGTTAAATCCCAGATGTACAAAACTCTTCTTCACAAAGCGCAGGGAGAATGAGGTGCTGAGAGCAACCTTGTTCATGCATAAACCTGTTACATTTCACTTGGGATTTAACCTGGTTATGAGATTGAAGATGCGTTGGTCCCTCTTATAGATAATTTATACCAGAACGTGGATTGTAGTAGTGCAGCCCTCTTAGTCCTATTATATTTTTCATGAGTGTTTTAATATCATCAATCATAACATTCTTCTGGACACTTGTGATGTTAGAGACAGAAGGTACTATTTTGTATGTCTTCTCTTATCTGAGCAGGTGATTCCAGTCAGTAGTTTTGAGCAATCAAGCTCTTTGTCTCTCCAGGATGCATGCTACGTGGTTCCCTTCTCTCCCAATATTAGTGAGACATATCCTTTGTTGTTTCTGGGTGAAGTATAATTAATTTGCTGATGACATTCACTTATATAATTCTGAGCCAAGGAGGAGATGATGTAAATTTCTTTATAGGGTCTCTAGAGATCATAAGTCAGTGGATGGGACAAAGCAAATTGCAATTGTGTCCCAGAGGATAGTGCTGCTGTTTGTATAGAAACCATCAGATCTCTGATGAGGCTTAGGATAGCTCTTCTTGTGGATTAGATTTGCACTTTCCTGAAGAAACAGGTTCGTCATTCAGGAACACTTCTGGATTCTTACCTTCCTGCTTGATAATCAGGCAGAGCATTTGACTAGAAGAAGCCTTTGCCAAGCTTTGGTATAACATTTGAGGCACTTTTTGGATAAGAGGCCCTGACAACAATGTCTCATGCCTTCATTAAGTTATAATCCTCATTAACAATGTAGCATTATTTCGGCATACAAAAACAGTTGCATATTCATGTCTTAGCCCAATATACCTAATAACTGATACAAACATTATACTGCATATCTATACACAAAGACACGAAACAGCCAAGGGGGCATCCACATGTCTTTGTCTTATTCCCTCCTTAGCATTGTACCATTTATTATGCATTCCATTTATTCTCACAAATGCCTTCTATAATATACTGTTCTTGATTTACTTAGCAACCAACATACTTGTGCCAAAATTCTATAATGTAACCTAAGACTAGGACCAGTCAATTTTGGGATATTTTGGTTGTCACAAGGAATACAAAAGCCCAGTTCCATTCCACACTGCTTATGCTATTGTACACATTCAGGGGTCTCCAAGGCTAGAGTTTGCCTTAAAATTCAACATACATACCTCACAAAGAAATAGATAATATGTAGTGTGCAGAATATATTGTTGACTATGTTGGGTATAAATCGTTCTGATTGCCCACTGTTATATATTTGTAAGGGGATATAAATTAAACCAAGATTTGTTAGCTGTCATTATTTGGTTTTGACTCAGTGTATTGTAGTCCTCATGGTTTATACTGTAGGAATTGGCAGTAATTCAATTGTGTCTCATTTATCAACTGTGATTAAGTAAGTCATAACTTAACATGATACATAAACAGGTTCATGCAGAGTATGTGTGCCACTAATGAACAAGGGTTTTTTGTTTCAAAAGGTTTGTGTCTAGGTAGGTGTGGTGTGTGAAAAGACCCTTATCCTCTGAAAAAGATTAACGTATCCTATCTCCGTTTTCCAATTTAGTAAACTATGAGATATGTTATATTTTTAACTAAAAATAACCTTTCTTTTTGCTGTTGTTAGGCTTTCACAAGTGGACTGAGGAAATACTTACACTACTATCGAGCGTGTGTTTTGTCCACTCCCCTGACTTTAACTCTTCTAACAATCAGCTTTCTCTTCCGAAAACTAGGACGACAGTTAAGGTAAGATTGTAGGATTAATGTCATAGGACAGAAATGGAAGATTGAACACTTTTCAACAGTGTCCCAAAGATAGTTCTGATGTCTTTATTTTAACACAGGGATCCTGAACCCCATCTGGCTGTGACCCGCTACCGGTCTGTGAGCCATTCAGAACCAGGCTGCAAAAGCAGCATGTGCACCTCCCCACTTGCACAAGCAGCGGGTGAGCACATGTGCGCAAGCTCCATTCACGCAAGCAGCTGCTCGTGCAAAAACATCCCCCCTCCCCTCCCCCGGCTGCTTCACAAAGCCATAAAGGTTGGCGAACTCTGTTTTAACCGCTTACTGTAATTTAGTCGTAGTTGCTAAAATAAGTTTAGAACTCTAGATTTAGAATTCCTTTAGACCTGTAACTAAAATAAATACTGACTGAATGCTGAATTGCTTTACCTTATTTCAGGGTTGTGTCCCAGAATATTTATATCTCCTGTTCATAGAAGCTAGCAGAAATCATTTCTAATGGGTTACCTGTAAGTGCTGTGTTCCTGAATTAAATATATAGAATTTTTATTATGTTTGTGACCCAGGTGGTTAAGGCAAGGCAGGCTTTAGAGAGGTCCTTTATTGTCCTCAAGAAGTGTTCAACAAACGGCCCTCCAAATGGACTAGTAAGGCTCCAACCCTGAAGGCAGCCACCCTCAGTCCCCCAAATAACAGCCCATATATTACCAGAAAAGTTCGCAAGGCAAAGTCCAGGCATAAAACAAGTGTCAGTCCTCAGGGCAAAGACAAGGTACACAACAAAGGCAGTTCTGAAGGTCCTGGTTGTCCCCCCCCCCGTCCCCCCCGAATTGGGTTCCGATTGGCCATGACAGATGCACTTAAGGCTAGAAAAGCATTAGGGAATGAAAAATGTAGACCTGACCCCTCATTTCTAATAAAGCTCTATTTAAAAAGCTGCTGCCTCAGTGTTGTGCACATACATTTATTTATGAAAGTAATGTCACATTGGTTGGATACATCAGTGTTGTTTTCATGGGACCAAATAGAAATGGTTGGCTAATGGCTCGTTCTGAGATCTCTTTTCAAAGTCCCAGACTAGCTAAAGATCCACAGGATTCCTTGTGATCTCCCACCAAAGAGCTAATGAAATCTGGCTCTTCCTAGGTTTTCAGGTTCAAACCTAGGGCAGGCAAGATAATCTTGCGCACTTACGGTAGTTATTATTAATGGACTATTCAAAGAATTGAAATATAATTTATACAGTAATACAGTATATTAGATCAATGTAACATAATTAACATACTTAGATATTTGCTATGAATTGTTTTAATTGATTGCGATATTTTGAAATGTATGGTATATTAAAATATTTAATTATATAAATTAAGTTAAAACATTCATTTAAATTAGATTTAATTCAAGACCTATAATAAAATATATATCTTTTTCTGAAAGTTCAGTCACACTTAACATATATTGCTTGAGAATTCTGAGTTAGATTCGAGAAGGCAAGATTTATTTATTTATTTATTTAGATTTGTCAATCGCTTACAAGATAATAGGTATAAGTATATACATAGTTATGAATACATGAAATGGGTACATATAAGAAAAATAAAAGAAACTATAGGACAGGGACAGTAGGCACGTTGGTGCATTTATGCATGCCCCCTACAGACCTCTTAGGAAAGGGGTGAGATCAAAAGTAGACAGTCTAAGGTTAAAGTTTTTGGGGTTTGGGGAAGAAACCACAGAGTCAGATAGAGTATTTCAGACATTGACCACTCTGTTGCTGAAGTCGTATTTCCCACAATCAAGTTTGATGCGGTTAACCTTGAATTTGTATCTATTGTGTGCTCTTGGTTTGTTATGGTTGAAGCTGAAGTATTAATTGACAGGTAGGACATTGCAATGTATGATTTTATATACCATACTTAGATCAGACCGAAGACGGCGTAATTCAAGGTTTTCTAGGTCTAGAATTTGAAGTCTGGTGGCATAAGGTATAAGGTTAACAACTCTTAATGCCTTCTGGCTATGTAGTTACAGTGGGCTCTAGCACTTAGATCATTTGAGATGAGTATTCCAAGGTCCTTTACAGATCATCAACAAGGTCTTGACTATTCAGCTTGTATTTTATTTTCTGATTATTATTTTTTTGCCAATATGTAAGACAGCATTTATTTGTTGAGATTTGAAATTGCCATTTGGTTGACCATTCTGATACATAATCAAGTCTTTTTGAAGGGTAGCAGTATTGTCTGTGGTATTGAACAGCTTTACATCATCAGCGAAGAGAACGCAGTTGCTCTTGATATGATCACAGAGGTCATTTATGTAGGTTTGAAGAGAGTTGGTCCTAGAACACTGCCTTGGGGGACACCATTATTGACAGGTACAGAATTTGGTAGGACACTCCCAATTTTACCATTTGTTGTCTGTTTGACAGGAATGCTTCTATCCAGTTATGCAGGTATCCAGAGATACCATAAGATTTTAGTTTTAGGAGTAGTTTGTCGTCTACCACTGAATCAAAGGCTTTACAGAAGTCAATGTTGATTGCGTCTATTGTTTTGCCCTGATCGAGTTGTATAGTCCATATGTTTTTGCAGTGTAAGAGTTGCAGATTACAGGATAGTTTTTTTCTGAAACCAAATTGTTAATTAGAGAGTAGGTTGTTCTCATCATTGTTTTGCCTTAATAAAAACTCGATTAATGAGTTTCATCATCTTCTGAGCCAAATATTGGAATAGTTCAGAGCGTATCTTGTCTGTCCCCTACCTTGGACAGTTTTAATACTCTGCAAGTGATTGTGCAACTGTGTAACTGATTTGTCTTTTTGTTAAGGTATTTGGCTGAGCTCTGTGGCATAGGAACAACTGCTGTGGGAGCTGGTGGAGGCACCAGTGCTTCCTTTCCAACTGTGAGTACATGAGTTTGTTTCTATTTCTAAGTCACAGCAAAAAATGTATATTTTTATTTATGGCTTGGTTGGAATAAATAGCTGCTATCAACAGGCTTACAGGCCATGGATTTTAAATGATTTGATATGATTTCTTGTAATTTCTTTTCTTGTATGATTTCTTGTATTCAACTTGTAACATTTGTATTCATCAATGTTTGAAATCATATAACTGAGTACAAAATATTATGTTATTTCCCCACCTATTAAAAGCTTAAATATGTATAACTACTAAAGCAGGGTTACTTGAGCAAGGAAGCAGCTGTCAACAGTATCTTTATCCAATTGATTTCTTGGCTAAAGTCAGGCAAATGAGTCTCAACTGACAAAAATGTGAATTTTATGCTTTTTACACAAACTGTCTTGTATGTATTTCAGGGAGTTGAACTTCTTTCATATCTCTACCAAGAGACTCTTAATAACTGCAGCAGTGAGCATTATCCAGTTCTCCTGTCCCTACTGAAAACAAGCTGTGAACCATACACGAGGTAGGAGCCGTGCATGCATTGTTACAGGGATCTGGCAAAATGATATCATGGGTTCCTTAGAGTTCTCAGTTTAGGCATCCACAGGCATGTTTGAGGAGCATTGAAAGTGAGACACACAGATTTTCCCAGTTACAGTAACTGAATCATTTTAATAACCTGATGTGATAGCATATTAATCTTGCATACAACAGCCATTCTAGAATATTATTTTTTTAAAGGACATTCAAGTGTTTTCTGCTTTAGGTTTATCCACGACTGGGTGTATAGTGGTGTATTCAGAGATGTCTATGGTGAATTCATGATTCAGGTGAATGAAGATTATCTTGGCTTCAGAGGTAAGCTTTCTTTGAAATATCATTTGTTAGATTCATGTCCCACGTTTTGTTCAGGAACTCAGGGCGACACAAGCAAGGCTGCCTCCGCTCATTTTTCTCCGACACAAGAGCTATTGCTATAAGATATGTTGGACTGAGAGAGAAATGGAATTTAATGAGTGAAAAATATTTGCAATACAAATTCCATTCAAAGGAAGTTGCCTGGCTTGTAAAGAACAAATGGATAATATTTGGGTTCTCACTATGTTTTATTGCTTTAAAACCATGCCAAAATACTTCAGAACTCTTTTTGATATATTATACTTCTTTATACTTAGACAAGCATTACTGGACCCATGGATATGTTTTGATTTCTAAAGAAGTAGAAGATTGTGTTCCTGTATTCTTGAAACATATTGCTAATGATGTATACATTTGTGGGAAAACTATAAACTTACTGAAGCTGTGTTGTCCCAGGGTAAGTATTAGAAGTTAATTATTTTGTTTAGTATATTTGAAATCCTAACTCTAGGGTTATTGATATAATTTTAGAGGCTGTTTATACTGGCAGTTGTTACCATATTAAGTATGGTATTCATTCTTTGAATCCATGGCATTGTTTTTCTGCAATATTGAAATTGTCTAAGAGATTTGCTGAATTACTGTAGAAACTCTTCTTTTTTTCCAGTTATATTAGCTGGCACCTAGCAATCATTAGAAGATCTCTGTTAAGAATTTTCTTTCTTTTGTACGCAAAGGATAGAGATTTTAGGGAATGCTTTTGATAGAATCATAGATTTCTAGAGTGAATAGGGTCATTTTGTCCATATAATCCCACCTTCTACTCAGGGAAGGATTGGAAATTACAGCCCTTTCAAACAGATGATAATCAGACTCCAACCCAAACAAATTCAGTGAAGGGCAGTCAACCACTAATTTTATTGCTGGATTGTTCTTTCTGCTCAGATTTTTCCCTCCTTAGGTTTATATGAAATCTTCTAATTTTAATCTTTTAGCTTGTCCTCTTTTTTTGTTCTGATTTTCTATGAACATTTCTTTCCAGTATTTGAGAAATACTGTCATGCCTCCTAACTTCATGTTTTAATCGCTGTTAATGTGCCCAGTTCACTTAGTCTCTGTTCTTAGAGCTTACTTTTGAACCTGCTAATTATAAAAAAAAAATCAAATATAAAATCATATGCCTGTTTATCTGATTTTTGTTTCCTTAATTTAAAAAAGGGTTGTTTTGTCTGCTAAATGTTATTTTCAACCCATTTTTTGTATTTTTAGCATCCTTCATTAACCTCAACTCTTTCTGTTCTTGTGTTTCTCTCTACAACTCTGTGCCCACTACCTTCTTTCCATGACTTGTATATTGTCTTATTTCGGTATACTTGGTACTGGCCTCTTCTGCTGTCCTTCACTGATCCTCCACACCGGAATTGCTTGCAGTTGTGCTTATAATATCTTTAGGAAACCCTACTCTTTTTGAGCCCTTTCTGATTAGTTTCTCTTGCCATTGGAGCATACCAGTCATTCTTTCAGATTATCAAAATCTAGTTTTCTGAAGTCCACAATACATGCTTGGGTATATATCAGTTTAGTTTTTCTGAAAATTAAGAATTCTAACGTTAGGTAGTCATTTTCTTTCACGTCTCTTTCACTCCTTCAGCTAAATTTCCCCTGTTGAGTAGCATCAAGTCAAGGACAGCTGATTCTCTTACACCTTCCTTCAGCTTTTGAAGAAGAAAAAATGCCAGCAATACAAATTGGGAATTACTGGAAGGAATATCTTGGCAGAGTTTGTCTTCTAATAGATATTGAAATAAGTCTGCCATGAATAGAGTTTCATCCCTTACTGAGAGCTATGCTTCTGTTTGAAAGGTGTTGTCCTCATCTTTTCCTTGCTTCTAATAGTCTCTAAGCAGGGTTAATATTTACAATTCCTCTTCCCTGCTTTATATGGCTTCTGTTTCCTTTTGAATAAATAGTGTAATTCGCTTTCTGGGTTACAGACATCGTTATTTCACTCAGCCTCGGTTGTACCTTCCACATTCTGTACTGAGAATTCAAACTCATGTTTATTTCCATACTCCAAACATTAGTACTAACATTGAACTAATGTTTTCTTTGAGTGGCTTAAGAAGTACAATTTCTGCATTGCATAAATCTCTTTCTGTGGTCCTTCAGCATTTTTATTTCCGCTTTGCAGAGGATTTGGTTTCAAGCCTTTTGAACCTTGCCACGCTTTGTCCAAACATATTTTTTTTTAACCAATCCTTGTTAGGTGCCAACAATCCATTATCTAGATAAGTCAGATTGCGCAGTCCCAGAAAGCAAGCTTTCTCCCATTCACTCCAATTTCTTTCTTTCTTTCTTTCTTTATAACACTTTTGTTTCCACGACCAATCATGTTCAACATAGATGAAGGTTCTGGCTGTGTTTTGAAGTATTATTTATTCCCATATGTATCAGAATGAGGTTATAATTGGCACTGGATTTGATAAGTTTTGTAAGTTGTTCTGTCCTATCCTTATCTTTGCTGCTGATGGCTCAAGAACTTCAGGCTGTTATCGTAAGGAATTGCCAGCTTCCGTGGCTATTCTTTTTGTCTTCTTACAAGGTCCAGTTGCATCCTCCAAGCTAGGCAACTTTAAGACTTGTGGACTTCAACTCCCAGAATTCCTGGAATTCTGGGAGTTGAAGTCCACAAGTCTTAAAGTTTCAATGTTTGGAGGCCCCTTCTCTATGTGTTTTAGGAATTTCGTGTCCTGTCTCCTTTTGTGCCATGATTTCCATGAAATCCTAGAGCTCTTTTATTTGCAGGTTCCTAAAAAACTATTTTTTTATAACGAGTGGTCAGAATATTGCTTGCTTTAGATTATTTCTTTATCTCCTTCGTAGTAAGAAACACTTGTTAAAAGTCTGCGGAGTTACAGAAGGAATAAAGCCCATCAGATTCAGAAAGTATAGGATTGTGTCCTTTAAACAATGTAGGTGGCTAGTGAAAAATAAAAGGTGTCTAACTTAAAAGCAAACTTGGTTTTAATATTTCTATTTTTGCAGCACTACATATGCTGGTCTGATATCCCTGTTCCTCGGATTTCTGTAACTTTCTCCCTTGATGAGTTAAAAGAGATTGAGAAAGATTGTGCAGTCTATGTTGGTCGAATGGAAAGAATTGCTCGCTATAGTACCATCAGCAAGGAAGAAAAGGTAAATATATTTAACAGAATAATTTCAGAATGGAAATTATTCCATTCCATTGTCCAGGAGCTAGACAAAATCTAGGCAAGATTTTGGTTTCTGAGTGATAACATTTTGAATTTGCAAATTTTCTAATTTATTTAATGTATGTCTCCTTTTATGATATAACATTTGGAAATTGCAGTAAATCACATGGATTTTCTCTTAGGTTTTGCGCATGGAAATTGAGAAACAGAGGTTAATTGCTCATGCTCAAGAAGCAGCTAGCAAAGCTCTCAAAGCCATTACTGGTAATTTATTTTTGTCTTTGCAGTCTAGTTGAGTTTCTTTTTGTTTTTTCTTATAAAAATATGCATTTTAACTTTACTTTTAGATCAACAGATATCAGAAAAAATGGCACTGGATGTAAAAAAACGTGAACAATTCCAAAAGTTGAAAGAACAATTTGTAAAAGATGAAGAGGTATGTAAAAGATGAAGAGGTATTCATAAGAAATTTTCACTAGCAGCTCTGTGTGTGTGTGTGTGAATGGATGAATGGATATTGAATTAGTCTGAAAAAAATATACAGCTCAGTTTAAGGTCTTGGAAAATTCTTCTGAAAATCTTTCTGAATATTTTGATAGCGTCGACGTACTCTGAAACAAGAAGAAATTGACGATGATTTTAGTTATGCTCGGGAACTCAGAGAGAGGGAGAAGAGACTTAAAGCTTTAGAAGAAGATTTAGAGAAAAGGGCAAGGTAAGCAAATCATAGTATTTCATGTTCAGACTTTTCAGTGATCAAGAGCAGATTTAGTTTAGAATTGACAAGATATGGTTTTTTATGTTAATACTAAAAATCTCTAAATCATGAATGCATAGCTTAAAAAGAGATGGTTTGAAATATGCAGAAATACAGATGCAGCACCTCTGCAGCTCTTAAATAGAAACAGAAGCAGTTGCTTTAATAAGTTGGTAGAGAGATGCTGCATTCCTGTTCTGAAACACCTCGTCCAAATCACATCTGAAGCATTGTGTGGTCCTAATATGCCATATTTTTGTCTATGGAGCTGTCAAATGTAGTGATGAATTCAGCCAATCTAATGGATCATGCACCACTAATCAGAGTAAACAATTAAAAGAACACAATATACTTACCACAAGCTGACACAAAAGTACCAACTGAAATGTATTTTTACTTATAGTACAGAACTATGATAGCGCAATATTAATCTTGCCATCTGATTGCGTAAGAAAGAGTATTGTGCCTGAAGACCCACAACACATGGCATTTATGTTTTTTATTCTATAAATTCACTTATAGTTAGGGTAGATTTTGGGGGTAATTATTGTGTAAGCTTTGAACACTATAATTACATTACAGGTAACTTCATTAAATTGAATTACATGAATATCTATCTTGCTCATTGATTTTGACCATTTGGGCTGTACTTATTTTGGAAGTAATGCAATTTGTATTAATCAACTTTGTTAGTTTTGCTCTGCTTTAATAGTATCTTTTCTAAGATACCAGTGTTATTTTTCTTTCTTTCCATTTAGACAAGAGTTAATTGACCATTATACTAAGCTGTCTGAAGATGCAGCTCGTAGAGAAAAAAAAGCTTTATGGAAAATTCAGAGGCATAAACTGGAAGCAGCCCGTCTCGATTTTCTGTTAAAAGATCAAAAAAATATTGAGGTACTGATATTTTTCTTTCTTTTCTTAAAAGCATATTGAACATACTTATTACAAACATTAATATTTCTATTTTATGTTTAGGACATGCTTGAAAAACTTCCTGGTGGGAAGTACAGGAAAAAAGTAAATATAATTCCAGAAGATCAAAGTCAACAGGTTATGCTGGCTGTAGGCCAAAGGAGAGATGCTCATCTTCAGGTTTGTACTTCCTTCTTCCATCTATGGCTCGGAGCCAGAGTTTAACAGCTAGTAAAATATCTAATAAAAAGAGACAATTTTTCATAGATCTCGAACTTGACAATAACCATTTTTACAACTATAAAAAGTATGTATTTAGCTCCGTGTTATTAAAAAGCCATAACTTTTCCTGTTCAAAAGTGTAAAAAGGGGATAAAGTTTCAATACTACCAAAAGTTAAGATTAGTTTGGTACAGAAAACATAATCCTTTCAAGATGTACTTTATTATACCGGTACCGTATTGCAGGGTACCCCTTTCAATGCTTTGCTCCAGATCTAATGAGTAATAGCATGTAATAGTATATCACAGTGGTGGCTAACCTTTTTCGGTTCCCAGCACCCAGAAAGCAATGCACCCGTGACTCCCCCATGCACTGCGCATCTCTGCGCATGCACATGTGACCCTCATGCACCTCCCGCATACACCCTGCCCCATGAGCATGTGTCCCAGATACCCGACAATCAGCTCTAGGGCGGGTAGCATACGTGCATACGCAGTGGGGCTCTTCAGGGCAACCTCTTGCATGCCGGCAGAAGTGACTCTGTGTGTGCCACTTTTGGCACGCATGACATAGGTTTGCCATCACAGGTATATCATGTATATGTCTACATTTCCTGGAATTCAAGAAAGCCATTTTTATATACATATTAGCATGTTGGCCAATCACAACTGGTGTGGTTTAAAAATAAATGCAGTATAGGGAATTATCTTACTTCAGACCATGTCTCCTTTTAGCCATGTTTATTCTATTCAGATTTGAAGTAGCTGTCCTGATTGTTGATTTAAGTTGCAGTCCCATGCACTGGGATTTTCTTCATACATGTAGTCTACGATTAAATTAGCTATTGGTTTAAAGATGAACACGCCCTTTGATTAGTGCTTATATGTTTGTGGTAACCCAGATTATTTCCGTGGTAAATAAAACAATGTTGAGACCTTTGAGAAGTTTAGTGAAGACAGTAAGATGAGCTAGTAAAAACAATTGTAAAATAAAATTGTATACAAGTAACTTCAGAAACGGCAAGTGAAAGAATAGAATTGAATATAAGTAACTGAATTTCATATATATTGTTGTAATTATTTTCAATTTTTGCACTACAGCCTGACCATCAGAAGATTATGGACATGGAGAGAGATACAAAATCTGAACTGACAAATTACATTTCAAAGGACCAGTCATCGGAATTAACACAGCCCCTAAATGTGCAGCCTACAGACTGCTCT